CCCCAAAACCCCAAAACCCCAAAACCCCTCGAGTTGTAATCTGCAACTATATTATCAATATCTAAAATTAATTAATCAGATCATTTGATGCTGTAACTGAGGTTCTTAAATCAGTTATTAATTCAATAAATTAAGGGCAGCTTCTATTTTTAAGACCTGAGCAGGTCTTTCCTTTTACTATTCCTTGAGATATTCTAAAGACAATTTAAATGCTTCCCGATTATTTAGCAATTTGGCTATTACTAAGCACTCTATTAATAAGCCTTTTTCTTTAAATGCTTTTATTGCTACGGGTAAACATTGATCCTCTATTATTTGTATCAATCTAAGTAAATGAAAATTTTGGCAATTGTACTTTATTGACTTAAAATCTAGAGCATCTTATTTCTAAATTTCTTTTATAAATAACTCAAAAGCCATGTTAAAATTGCAATCCTTCTAATCTCCTTATAACTTGTAATAATTTTCATAAAAAGATTTCTTAAGTTCCTCATATCTAATCTAACGTATTTCATCCTCATTGTGGAATAAATAAAGCCAAGCCTTAAGCATAACCAATTTTTAGAAAAACTCAAAGCGCTAAATATATAAGCAACTCTAAAGTTCTTACTCTATGATATACTAAGCATCATTTACATTCTTTTGCTCATCAAATCTAAATAATCTAAAATCTACATACTGTTCAAAGATATTTCCATCTAATTGTATAAGCCCATCCTTTAGCAAATCAGTGATTTACTGAGTGACATCTTTCTTCTGTTAGTAAATGACTCTTCCTTAAATTACACTGAATAAGGTGAATTCTTTCTTTTATTCTAATTATAATAGATTTGAATGCTATTATCCGTTGTTCTAGTCATTTAGATGTCTTTTATTTGCTTATTGCAACTTTTCATTCGTTTTTTACTTTCTTTTATTTTGTAAGTTACTACTTTAATGGTTGTCTTTTACTTTTTAGTTTTGTTGAATGCTTTAATTATTTTAAATAATCTTAGTACTGCATCCTTGAATTACTTCATTTAGATTCCATACCATTAATTATTTGTCATCTGAACTTGTAATAAATGCATTGCTATCATGATAAACCCACTAAGTTGTAACAACTTTCCCTATCAAGTTAAGATTTATCTAGTATAAGATTTTAAGATCAATGTGACTCTAAATTTTGTCACCTTGATTACATTTAATTTAGTAGTTTATTGGTAGTATATCTGCTATTCTAATGAACTTATCTGTTGATAGAAACATCATAAAATGTCTTTTGTGTAAATCTAATTTCAAATTAATGATGCCATAATTATTTGTAAAATTAAAGTAAAACCCCTGATTTATTTGATCTGTTTAAACTAATAATAACTATTAGCCTATCGAAATCGCTAATATCTTATTCTATAAATCGCCTATAATTTTACTTGAGTTGTCTTATTAGATACCCTCTAGCGCTTTTTAAAGATTTATATAAGTTTAATGATTCTGAGAAATCACAAATTGCCTCAATAAATGCCTATCAATAACATAAAATATCTATTCACTTTCTTTCAATAGCAAATACTTTTAATTTTTTTAAAAATGACTAGCACTTTCTGTTTGATTATTATTCTACTCATAATCATCCGGTAATTCTCCATCTTCAACAATCTAATTGTTAATCTCTGTGACATCAATATTCTATTTGATTTCCTTAGACAATAAAACTTAATTTGGAATATGCAAATCGTAGGATTTAGAAATTATTTCCAACTATAATACTAAAGTTTTCTTATCATCAATAACATTAGCTAAATAAAGACAGCCTGAATCAGTAATAATGATTAATATTGGTGCTTTCTCTTGCATCTCAAGGATCATCTGAATTTCTTTATTCAAATGCTTCAAAGATTATCCTCTTATTTGTTAATAATTATCAATGAATACAAGACTTACAATAGAACTTTTACCTGGTAAACATATTTTCTTAACAACTTCTTTTGAAGCAGTGTGGTATAAAATCAATTAGTTATGTTCAAACACTATAGCGCATAAGCCTCCTTAAAATCCTTGTGAGAGAGCAAAGCTAGTGATTTCTCTTCCTCTAAATACATTCTTGCTTGTATAATCTTAAACCTCAAATGTTTCAATGTTTTCCAGTCCTGTATTTAACTTCCAGCCTAATAGTTTCTGTACACTCTTATTCTGTACAAAATATAACATGTTGTCACTAGCATGAGAACATAACATTTGAATAGTGTTACATATGGTATAAATATTGCAGATATTTTCGCTGAACCTGCCATTAAGCTGCATCTCAAATATTGAAATGATTCGATCATATCCTATGGTTAGAATTCGATTCTCAGAGATCTAAAGGATTTATTGAATGAAGGCTGAGTGTGTATTTTCTTATAATTTTTAGCAATTATCCTGTAAGAATTCCTATGTAATTTCAGATAAATCATTTGGTAAATTTAGTGTGTAAATATGTCCTCATTCTGATGAAATAATAAGTGTATTTTAGGAGCTTATGTACTTTAGCCTAAAAGCTCTTATAGTATTTTACATATCTTTAGGTTAAGTCAGCTTATCAACATCCTCATCTAAGAAAGGTACTTTTAGGGGTTATTAGCTAATATTCTAAAAAATATTAGAATGATTTTTAAAAATGATGCTTCCTCTCTAAGTTGTTATAATTAATATGTTTTGAGCCGTCAAGACAATGTCCGAGATTTTAGAATCTCCCAAGTAAACTTTATCGAAGTAATTTTTAGCCAGATCTAGTTAATAAACAATCCCTATATTTGTACCGAAATAGAAGATATTCTATTCCTAAATCTAAAAGTTCAAGTATTATATTTGATTATTATCAGCTTATTATATTCTGTAAATCTCCTAGAATTCCATTGACTAAATTTGAGCTCTGTATAAAGTTCCATTTTCAGTTAATGCATATATTAAGTCTTTTGATTGCTCGAATTAAACCACAAGAGAATTAGTTTAAAATATCTTCTCTTCTTAAAGCACTTCGGTTTAACCCTCCACTAGTATCTTCTTAATCATAATTGCAAAATTCTTAAGTGAAACTAAGCAATATAATTAGCTATTTTCTAGCTAGACTAATTTCAGACTAATGCACCTAGTTTTTTTTATTTTTTCTAATCTATAAATATTAATTAAGAAGATCAATTTCTTACCAAATAGTATCGACAACCTTTTTATTAATAACATCAATTAAGATGATCATCTCATTGGAGCAATAAGCAAGATATGGTTCTATATAATCCGAAACATACTAGCTATCCCAATTCGGTGAATGAGGTATTTGTATTAAGGGCTTCACTCTTGCCGCCTTTTTCTATTACTAATTCTATAAACTCTCCATTTAAGATAATTACTATAATTTAACAATAAAGCATCTTGGGGTTTTGGGGTTTTGGGG